CATCCTTGGGTAGCATATTTTATAGTCTATGAACAGTAGTTTGGTGACCGAGCTCTTCTACAGGCATTCTGTCATGGCTGTGAGATATACCAGGAGTCCCTTGTACAGGTTCTCAGTTATGGCTGTGAGATATACCAGGAGTCCCTTGTACAGGCTCTCAGTTATGGCTGTGAGATATACCAGGAGTACCATTCTGCAGGGAGTAGACTATGTGTGTCTGTCATGCACAGGAGTGATCATGTCATCATTGGCATTGCCACCTCATGCTATTTGCTCATGTTGCATTAGTTCCTGACCAACATCATCTAGCCCTGGGATGTGGTAACAGTAATAAAACCTGCCTCACTGAGCAATTTCAGGAGTAACATTGAAGTGTGCCTACATTTCTCTGCTTTTCCTTAATAAAAAATTCTCCCAAAGTATTGCTGGCCAATGTGGTTTCCATTGACTGATGTGGGATGTCCTTCTGTATATGTGTTGCTTTTATTGGTTGATGAAAAAAACTGTTTGGGCCAATGGCTTAGCAGAGTAAAGCCAGGCAGGGAATCTGAGCAGAGTTATATATAGAGAGAAAATGTCATGTAGCTGCCGAAGGAGAAAGATGCCAGGACATTACCAGTAAGCCTCAGGCTTATGGCAATACATAGATTCCTAGAAATGAGTTGATTTAAGATGTAAGAGCTAGCTAGGAATATTCCTAAGCCATTGCCCGGTGTTGTTATTAATATAGTTTCTATATGATTATTTGAGTCTGGGTGACCAGGAAACAAAAGCGCAGACTCTGCTTACCTAATGATGCCCAAATGTTTGGCAAGAATTTCCATAATAAAGCCAGAGAAAGCTTTCACTGATGTTAATTTTTCTTCTTTTCTTACTTCTGGGGACACTTTTGTTCTCCTTCCTTATCAGTTTCATTGCCTCTTTTTCTGCATCTTCAATATCTTCTCATCTGCTTTTTGGATCCAGACATGTTGCATTGTAGCTCTTGTCTGAGTGACTTTGGACACCATATGCAAAGGCTTGCCCAGTTTTGCTTTGGTAGCTAAAGAACAGAAATGTATTGCAGTGTATCGAAAGCGGAGCCATCCAGGAACAAGGACCAGTAGCTTCACTGAAGAGGGTTTGGCCTCTGCTTTCAAGTTCATACTTTACTACTCCATGTCAGAAAGAGAGAGATAACAGGTCTTCACGTGATAGAAGACAGATGGGCAAGCAAGAGCTTCCTATGTCGGGTTCTATAAGGGAACCTGATGGCACTAAAATATACCTGTCCTGACCCCACCCCCTAGGGATACAAATGCAGCAGATTCTGGGTGGAATCTGTAACATTTCTTAACAAGCTCCCAGGGTGATTTCACGGGCTAATGCAAGCACACTTTGCAAAGTTTTGTCTCGCTGGCTCATTGTACCAGGTTAAGTTCATTTCTCTATGGCTCCCCTGCTTGAGTGTTGTTTCCCAGCCGAGTGTGAATCACCTGGGAGCCTCAATATAGATCCCCTAGCCCCACCTCAGACCTTGTGAATCAGAATTTCCACGATGAGTCCTAGGAATCTACAAGAAAAGAAAAAAGAGGAAAAAGAAAAGAAAACCCACCTCCCTTGGTGCCTCTGCTGCAGCCAGTCTTCTGCTAGCCTTTGATAGTCCCATCTCGTCTTACAGACTCTATGAGGAGGTCCTAACTCAGGAGCAAGTGGGTGTCTTCTTTGTCATTATAAGCCCATTTCTCAGTCTGTCCCACAATGTTCGAAAGTGCTGCTCAGTAAGACAAGTCACTGTGGGATGAACTCCGAGGGGAGTCACACTTGCCAGATGTCTTTGCAGCTTGGATATCAGCCATTGCTACACAGACATCTCAAAACTGTTCTCTGACTGGAGCCAATGAGTGTGGCATGGCTGCCTATCTTGTTTTGGTGAGGATGCCCTCGGTCATCCTTTTCGTCCAGGAATTCAATGTTCCCCAGAACAGACAACATGGTATACTCTCCTCCCTCGTTGCATTTTTTACATTTCTCCAGCTCAACCTTCCCCTTGGATCTGCATAGAGGGACACGCTTGGATTGGCTTCAAGCTCGGGATGTATCCACTGGTCTCCAGAGAGATAGTGAAAGACCTGAACCCTTTGTCCTGGGGCCTACCTGGACTTCACAAGTCACTGAGGGCAGGGTGTCCCCTTAGGTTAGACTTCTAGGGGAGTAGCCTTGTCTCACTTCTGTTTGGGTGCTTTCTCAGGTAGAACACTAAACCAGAACCGGTAAAATATTACCAGAAATGGAAGCAAAATGCAGCAGTGGGGATTGCTCAAGTGGTTAAGAACAAACCGTACCGAGAAATTATATTCACACAACTTTATCCTTGGCCTAGGTGGACAGCAAGCATCCAGGCTGTGAAGAGTAAGTCCTGTCCTGCTTGGTCTGCTTCCTGAGTTCCTGACCTGCTTACTCTGGACATCAGAGTCAAATGCTAGCCTCTTTGAATGGGGTAGATTTGTTTATATTCTTGCAGAAGGTCGGCTCATCGCTCACACAAAACCTAAAACCTAGTGATATCGGCCCTGCTAGTGTGCTCCATGGATTTGCGCTTTGGAGTTTTGTCTCTGGATAAGCGGCAGATGTCATTTTTATGCCAGATAAGAAAATCAGTAATTAAGAGAAATCCCTGCGGGAAATCCTATTCCCAGGTGATAGCTGCTTCCGCAGGCTTTTGAGGTGAGGGGGCTAGCTCTGGAGACTCCAAGCTGTGATTTAGTGACAGACAGATGGAACTGACTCTAGAAATATATGGCGAGCCATCCGATGAGTCCTGACAGTTAAAGGACTCAAGGAGACAATTTTTTTTCCCTGCCCACCTAGTCCTCATACAAATGTAAATATATCTCTTTCAACAAGTTGCTGAATGTGGTTTTAATTTATAAGCTAGAGATCAGTCTTACTGAGTGTACAGTCAGGAGTGTGTGTGTGTGTATGTGTTCGTTCTCTCTCTCTCTCTCTCTCTCTCTCTCTCTCTCTCTCTCTCTGCCTCCCCCTCTTTCTCTTCCCATGTCGCCCCCTTTCCTCACCCTCTGTTCTCCTTTTCTCTCCTTCTCTTTTTTGAAGTCACAGGTTTTATACTTTTTGAACTGGACATTTCCCCTGTCACTTTTCTTCCAGAGACTTCCCTGACCCCATTGTCAGGGGCCTTTAAGACAAGAGTAGTATTTCTTGAAGTAGTATTTCTGCTGTATTTCTTAAAGACATTTTTGAAGTTCCCAGAGGAGCTACATGTGGTTTTAAAACGTAACTAAGACAGTGGCTGAATCCATACTGCGATTGAGATTTGAAGAGCCTGTCACTATATCATACTTTATACAGTATCATATTTTATAGTGTATGCAGAACCCATTGTTGTTATTTATGACCCTGTCTGCCTTCCATTGTGGACTTCTTCCAGCCTTGGGGAATTTACATCATTCCTAATAGCAAAAGGCTTTCTGGTTCCCACAGCGTTGTTCAAAGCCTGACTCATGCTCCTTATGTTAATTGTTCAGCTCTGAAAATACAGCACTTACAGGGTGTGGCTGCAAGGGGAAAATCAACTGTATTTACAGGGCATGCAGGACATGTTTAGAAGTGTTTCGCACATAAATCTCCATCGCTCCCAATCCCTCTCAGCCTACCCTCTTTTGCCTTCCCCCTCTGACTTAATTTGGAGTATTCTTTTCCCAAAAATTCATTTTAGGAAACAACCAACTAAAAAAGAATGGCGACACATTACCGTGCAGTACAATCCAGTATAGCCAGTTATACTCTGTTGACTGACAATTAAAGCCAATTTAGGTTACAAGTGGACATGTCTTTGAAAGATGCCGGCCCAGGTCTGAAGCATAGGCATGGCCCAGAGCTCACGGATCCTCCTAACCTAGTTTTGTGAGCTCTGATGAGATGGAGCCCTTAGAGATACCCCGGAATAATACTCATGGCTGCCATCCTTCAGAATCTGGGGACTACCACCATTCATTCCTATGTAAGCCTACATAAGACACAGGTCTACTGATAGGTACGGTTCCTCATAGTCACTACATTTTAGAGGAATTTGATGGGGAAGAATTACTTGGACTCTCAGAAAAGAAAGAGCAGATAACACCTTATCTGGACTATCAGCTTCTAACCTATGGGAGGAAATTCCAAAACATTATGTGGGTCAACTCTGGCAAAGGTTGCCATAACTTTAAATTTTGTAATTATCTCTTTATGAAGCTTTGTGGTTTTTTTTTTTTTTTTTTTTTTTGGTTTTTCGAGACAGGGTTTCTCTGTGGCTTTGGAGCCTGTCCTGGAACTAGCTCTGTAGACCAGGCTGGTCTCGAACTCACGGAGATCGGCCTGCCTCTGCCTCCCGAGTGCTGGGATTAAAGGCATGCTCCACCACCACCCGGCCAGTGGATATGTTTTTTAAAGGTAGATAATCTGTGTATAAGATTATGGCAATGACTACTATAAGAAGCCAGAGACTCCCAGGTTTTTGGTGGTTGTTTGTTTGTTTTTAGTAACCGAGATTGAAAAAAACTTCATTTTTAAAATGCCAATATTAAAAGGTTTAACTTGATATTGTTTTATGGCTCACAATATTGGTAAGTAAGGGGCATGTGGAGGAAATCTCAGGATCATCAGGACACTGGCTACTGTCTTCTCACAAGCCTGCTGCTGCTGGCTGAGGGATTCTACCCTCTGGGGCCACAGAGAGACCACATATTGTTCTAAATGCCTTGGGATCTGCATGTTTCACATTACGGTTTTGGGTGTTTGTGGTACATACTCATGCATGAATTGTAAAGAGACGAATACAAAACCAGTGTGACACCAGAAAGTGCCGACTGAAAGCAATTGAAAGAGACTAAAACAGCAGTCTTGTTTTATTTGGTGTCTAAAGAAGTAAAGCTGTCCACCTGAGCATTCCTAGTGTCGCTGTTTTCCCTGGTTTTCAGCTAACAGGCTCCTGTTTGAACCTTTGTTATCTTTTGGAGTAGACAAAAAGAACCCTCCACGGACTGTCTGACTATTTCGCTGGGTGTGCACAGAGTTCACCTTCTCCTGGTAGAAAGCTCAAGAAAAACACTCTACAAGAAATGTAGGTCCAGCATGTTCCCTTGTTCTCCCTTTCTTACTGCCTGTGTGGATAGTCTATTACTCAATGAGAGTGTGTGAAACCTAATCAGAAGCCCCTTTGCCATTGGTCCGGCCCACAGCCGTATATTAATACATGTCCTTCCCACCTTCCTGTTGCTCTTGTTCTCTGGACAGTGGGAATGGACTCCTTGCTTCACAGGTGTGTGTGTGTTGCAAGGGGTGATTAATTACAAGCTCTTTGAAGATGAAAAGCACCTGCTGCTGCTGTGTTTCACACAGCTCTTGAGGTAACTGCAGACAGACCTACAAACTCCATTCCCTTTGTGAGAGCCTTTCTCTGACTTTGGTAGAATTATGGCAGTCCTTGGGCCCCTTACTACAACATATTTATGTTTTTTTTTTTTTCCACAGAGCTTAGCCAAAGTAAATAATCCAGCTTCGATGCTTGAATTTAGTGGCTGAAAAAGTTTCTTGCTATTTGTAAATGTATTGTTGTCAACTCCTTGCCAAAGTTAAGGACTTTAGTCTCTCGATTTCCTAAGCAGTTTCTGTCCGGCCATGGAAGTTTGTTTTAAAGTTTGCCTTGTCTGTTGTTTATCCTGTAGAAGAGGGAGGTAGAGAGATGATAGATGGGTAGATAGATAGACAGACAGACGGACAGACAGGGTAGATATACTGCTTATCATGGTTGTACTTTATTTAATGTTTGTTGTCTGAATGCTTTCTAGGACTGACCAAGTCCGATTCACTGAGGCTTACTCCCATATGCTTGATGAATAAACCTGGCACCTACTGAGTCATGTCATTAGAGAATCTTCAGATTAGTATTTATTCCCAAATATGAACAATGTGTGCATATTTGTACATATCTGTGGGTGTGCACACACATCCTGTGCTTTGGATGTATCTAAAGCATTCCCTCCTAGTAAAAGTCACTCTATTCACCCCAGGGAGAATTTTTCCTCTGCCATCTGAAAATGCATACCTGTTTGGTTAAAGTGATTCCATTTTAAAATGATTCCATCACTGAACCAACACTGAGATCTTAGAACATATCCTACTTGAGTGGAAAATGCGGAGGTTATTACTTAAGCCAATCTGTATTCAACGTACACTTTGGGGATTTCCTAGCTATGCTGAGGTGTTGAGGAGAAGCCAGCTGGCACGTGCCTTGTTCTCAGGTGTAACAGCCGGGGAGTGGGGGTTTGGAGGAATTCGTGCCGTTGCAAACCTCACATGCCATGCAATCTTAACTGTCTGTTTTAGTGTGAGAAAAACTGAAGCAAAACGCAGCGCCAAGAGCAAATCACAGGCCAGCACGGACCTTGTGGGAAGATCTACTGATTCGGTCATTACTGTGGTACCAAGGAGGAGGGATGCCTCTGCCATTCTCTTGTCAGAATCCATGGGTCAAGCACAGGATGACATAAAAGCAGCCAAGAGCCACCGGGGACTTCCTGTTCAAAAGCTGGAAAATGTTTCCCAGACTGAGCCAGAAGACACTAGCAGCCAGCAACAACCTCATCCTGGGGAGTGGCTAAAGTCGGGGCTTCTAAGCAGGAGCCCTATGTGTAGCTATGAGTCAGCATCACCAGGTCCAAAGCAAAGTCCACGAGCAGCCAAGACACAACAGAAACGCAGGAACTGCGGCTCTGCGGAAGACTCTGACCACCGCAGGAGAGTTTCTCTTGGAAATGATGGATTAGCCCCAGGAGACGTGATGGTGGGAAAGAGCACAGCTGTCAGTGTTTTGCCAGCGTTAGAGTTGTCAGATCCAGGGTTGCTTTTGAATCAGGATTTGGCAAAAGCCACGGCTAAAGAAGAGCTACATGCTTTGGAAAATCTCTCCTCCAGACACCTTATGACCAACATCCCAGGGCAGGCACAGCAAGCCACCCCGGCTGCAGCTGACGAAAGATTAGCGACAGTTGAAGGCGGCCCAAGCAAAAAAAGAAAGAAATTGCAAAGTTCTAGCAGAGGATGTAGTGGCAAGAAAACTTTGAATGTGTAGTTCCCGGGATTTGGAAAGAATTGGGGTAATCTCTCTAAATAAACAGATGTTTAGAGGCTGGAGGACTGTCTCAGTTTTTAGGAGCACTTACTGCTCTTGCAGAGGACCTAGGTTGGCTTCCAAGCATCCACAAGGTGACTCAGAAGCATCACGAACTCTAGATCCAGGAGACACAACACCCACTTTTGGCCCCCATGGGCACCGGGCATGCACATGGTATGTATACACACAAGCAGGCAAAATACACATACACATGAGATAAATCTTTTTTAAAAAGCTGTTTGTGTTGGGATTAGACTTCACAGTCACCTCCTGGAGGCTGTTTTTCTAATAGGCGTGTTACTTTCTCATCATGTTTATAACTGTCTCCAGAAAACACTGTGTTGACAAAGAGCCCTCTACTTGTCAAGGTATATAGGGCCCCGTGGAGAAGCCAGTAAGGTAGGGTTTTCTCACCGCATCACTATGGAGACCTCCTGATGGGATACAGAGAGATGGTGCCCTACGCTGCCAGCCAGCTCTTGTGCTCCAGTCCTCTTGCTCCTCAAACTGAGTACATGGCAGTGAAAATAGGCTAGTGGTTCTCAGCGCTGTGGTTCTATGCGAAATGCAGGTTTTGGAGTCTGAGAGGAACTATGATTCTGAAATAACACTAAAACTGACAATTCCCTAGGAATTATTTCCTCCAGCCTTGCCACCGCGGCTTCCATCAACTGGGGCCACATGTGGACACGTACAGCCCTGTGCTCCCTCGGACTTGTGAAGTATTTAGATTGTGTGAGTCACTTAATTCCCAGGTTCTGCTGCAGGATGGAGACAGCGCTTAGGGAGCTGGTTAGCTGTAGTTGCCAGAAATGCACAGGTAATTCATCTCAGCCTTATGTGAAGACATGGAAGAGGTGTGTTCTGTGTGACGCAGGTCTGACCCTGTCCTTGTTCACACCTCTAATATTCCAGATACAGTAAGGACAGACCAGAACCCATTCCAGTTCCAAGTTGGAAAAATTCACAGGGCATTTACATATTCTTTTTGGTTGTATAGCCTGCTCTCAAGAAAGACAAGAAACCTAAGTTATCTGCCTGGAAATTTCATCTGATCATCCCAGCCTCAAAGGACCAGAAACCACTTGCTGTTGTTCCTTTCCTTTCCCTTCCTGCCTAGCTTTTTTTTCTTGAGAGATAATCCCCAACTACTGAATCCTCAATGGAAGTCTGAGTAGCCCCTATTATACACCAAGAAGCAGCTTGCTCAGAAAGATCCTAAAGTCAAAGCCAGTCCTATCAGAATGATGGGCTCCAAAACTAAGATATTCTGACCTGGAATCAACAGGGTTTTACTTGTTTAATAGTTAAGGTCAGACTCAGTCCTTAATTGTACTTCAATGAAGGATTTGCTTTCAAGAAATGTTTTGTTTTTCAAATCTGTTATTGTAGGAAATAACGATTATTGTGACTAGTGAGAAAAAATAGTACGTTTGGTTTGTACATAGATGTGGTCTTTTACACAGTCTTCTTGCACAATGGATTTTAACAGGATTAGCAGGGAATGGCTCTGGGCTCCCATAAGTGGCATATGTTTAAGGATATGCCTTTAAGGATTTTGCCTTTAAGCATTTTCCTTCGGTGTATCTGAAACACCTCTACATCTCTTGTTTCTTGAATGGTTTTATAATTCTTTGAATATATGGACAAAGGGGAAAATTAGTCCCAAGTGTTTTGTTAATCATCATATGGTATATTAAATATTGTCTACTGTTGGGAGTGGTATGAGTTTTTATATTCTTAACTATTGTAATAACTTGGCATTTGAAATTCTGAGACCCTGTCAGTGTTGATAGTCAGAAACAAGTTCTTCAACCCCTTGGTACCCAATTTAAATTTATATTCAGGTCCCTGTAATTCTGATACTTACAAGAGATATCCATCCAGTTCTCCTGATAGTATTATAACTGAAGAACTTTCTCAGTACCTGGGATGCTAAGCCACCTCTATGTTCTTTCAAATGACATTTAATAAGTGAGAATTGGTTAGGTCTTTTTTTTCTCTTTCTTTCTTTCTTTCTTTCTTTCTTTCTTTCTTTCTTTCTTTCTTTCTTTCTTCCTCTCCCTCCACTCCACCCCCATTTAAAATCCTGTGGGAGAGGCTGGGCCTGGGGCTGTCCTAGCACTCGGGAGGCAAAGGCAGGCAGATCTCGTGAGTTCAAGGCTAACTTGGCCTACATAGTAAGTTCCCAGATAGCCAGAGCTACATAGTGAGACCCTGTCTTAAAACAAACAGATGAAAAAAAGGTATGAGAATAATCTGAGTTTTTTCTTGCACAACTGTTTTTTCTTTGCCACTGGAGGTAAAACTCACTCAGATATGCATATGATACGTTAAGTGTAAAAGGTCACTTGGCACTAGAACGGAGTAAGAACCACATGATTTTGTTCCCTTATTGCGTGCTAAAGAAATATGGAAATGCATTTCATTCTTTAAAAATAAGACTCATGGACTGTTGGTGAAGAAGGCGCTTTGCATGTGCAGTTCTCTGGATTTGATCCCTAAGATATCAATAAGAAAGAAAAATACACAAAACGTCTGTAGTTTGATTTCTGAAGAATGTAGTTCATCTCTGGATGAACCTTCTCAAAGTGTACCTAGGAGATGATGCTGGGGTCTTGGTATAATTGTTTTATGTTTGCTGTTGTATTTAGATTTCAGCAGAGATCGTGCCTGTCAGTGCCCGTTGGCTTCAGAAAGAGCCCCGACTGGGGCAGACACATAGGGAAGGAACTATCTATGCCCAAGAGAATGGCCCGGGATCAGTGGCGGCATTCGTGTTTCCTTAAGCTCCTTGGCAGACCTTACTGTAATATTTCCACAAAACGGTAGTGAATGGTCCTCTGAACAACAAGCAACTTTTCAAGAGCCAAAAAAACTCGCTGTGCAGCATGCTGGGACTGGAATATGGAAATTGTTTTAATTTCTTTTCTCTTATGAGGAAATCACTGCATTTGGTTTGTCAAGACAAGAGAGTTCATTCCCCAGTATTGAAACAGTGATGAACTGAAACATGTTGGAGCACGTTTAAAAAAAAAAAAAGTCAAAATTAAACTGGCTTCTCTTAAATAGCTTAAAGCTTTCCACAGTACAAAATAAATTAAGCATTGTAAAATGAAGTTAACTCAAGTAACCACTCCGTACAGAAATGTGGCCATTTATACCATCAGCCTTGCTGTTCCAGGGTATAATTAAATCCTCAGAAATCTGCAGAATTCCCTCTAATTTGGTTTCTATATATATTTAATGAGACAGGGAGGGAAGGTATGTCAAGATGTAGCATAACCGGGACCTTAGATGGATGAGATTTCCTTTATCATCTGGACCCATTCAGGTAAATTCCATTGGCAGCAGAGAATTGCCACACTATATGAAGTGTCCCCATCACCATTCTCACCAGAGATTGGCAATTAGTTGACTGAAACAAAAGTTGGTAAAACCACACATTTGACTCCCCAAAGCATCTGATGGGTTCTAATAGGTGGTAATTTGACAGATTCTCAGAATGAGTTTCCAGGTAGAATTAGACATTGCCAAATCTCCAGGAGAACCCTGGTCCTCTCATTTAAGTAGCTTAAATAGTCTGAATGTCCAGCGAATAAAACCATTTTTGTATTGAAAATGTACCTTTTTATGAATAAATATGTGTGTGGTGTGTTGTGTCATCCAGATTGCTTACTTTGTGTTTGTGTGATGAGCGGGGGGGGGGGGGGGGGGGGGCGGGGCGGTGTCTCACTATATCCCACAGTTCAAACTCACTACATAGCCCACACTGACCTCCAGTCTTGGTCCTGCCTCTGTGAGGAAAGCATGTGTGCGTGTGTGTGTGTGTGTGTGTGTGTGTGTGTGTGTGTGTGTGTGTGTGTGTAAGAGAGAGAGACATGCTGTTCAAAAACAAATGAATTAAGCTCAAAGAATGCATATCTAATGCACCCTTTTCTGAACATGTTATTCTCAATTATGTTCTGCCTGGAAGAATGTCTTTCCTCCCAGGAATGTTTTTTGGGTTCGGGAAATCTTGCTAAGTTAAAGGTACCATTTGAACCACTAGCCCAAAAGATTTAGGTTTAGAAAACCGAGTGAGAATCATTAAGATCAAATTGACCCTTAAGGTTCTAGGCTGTCTTAGCAGTCTAGTCCGCTCCCACTGTGCTCCTAAGTGAGTTCTGTGGCCCTCTTAGGAAGGGCTTTCATAGTCTTGACACCTTCCCCGAGAACCCTGACTTTCCCCAGGTGAGCTCCTTTACGTGCTGCATGAGCTTCTGGTCTTTATTCAGTACTGCTTGAGGTTCTGGGCCAGCTCTTTCTCTAATCACCTCAATGTTTCCGTCCCTTGTCCCTGTGGTCACTTGTAAGTAGATTTCCCTGGTGGCCCTATTCCCGTCCCTCCAAAAGCTTTTCATTGTCAGTTCAGAGATGACATCAGAGCTTTGTGTGAAATGGGAAGGGTGACTCCCAATGGGGAAGCCCATTTCTTAGTGTTTTGGTCGTCTTGGTGCACTGGGTGGCAAAGCCCACACAAAGGATACCCTGCCCTGGGCTGGAACCTGGACTGGAGAGCTGGGACAATGTAACAGCATGGCACTGCACGGTACTGCAAGCCGCAAACCCTGGGTCCAGGAGCTACATTGCCATTAATGGGTTTTCTGTGTGTTTTGATATAAGTCACTTAACCTTCCAGTCTTCAGTTTCCTCATCTTTCAAAACTGTCTAGTATTTTAAGCGTAAACCCATTGCCCTTTAAGTACTAAAGTAAGCATGTCACACCCCTATGTTAATTTGTCCATCTGTCTAGAAATGCTTCCTACAGTGGACGCTAGTTGGAATCACCTCTGTGGCTTGTCGATCAGTCTCTAACCCCCTGGGGTTGGTCGGGACTGCATTTTAGTATTTTTAAAACCCCTCAAACAATGACTCATGGGATACCGTATTAAGAACTACTTTCTCAAAATGGGGGATGTGTGCTTATGTAAATCCTGGATGTTGACAGGCAGGGTTGACTGGGAAAAATAGCCCTTAAAAGGGGGCTTTCTTCAAATCTAAAGTAGGCCCACTTTCAGCCAAATGAGTAGGAAGTCTTTAGGGACGAGGTGTCAATAATAGCTGTGCATTTTAATCACAGGGTTGTGTTTCCTTCTGCGGCTTTCCCATTCCGGAGTGGTAGACCCTGCGCATCATTCTCCACGTTGAGATATTGTTACCCTCATTCGGAAGATGAGTTTTCAAAGTGCCTAAATAATTGTCTGGAATTTCTACATAAACCTCTGGGTTTTTGCCTTTGATCCATGATCATTAATATCATTAATAGACCCTCTAAAAGCGCATGTGCATCTCAAGCTAGCTTTTGGCAGAGCAACGGGAGAATGAATGCTTTTAAAATATTTTGGCTCAGAAAGCGCATGTGAAATAACCCTGTGGGAAAATCAGGAGACTTTCTCATCCTGCAAAGGATTACCTAGGATGAGATACTGACCTTGTATTTTAAGTTCAGTTACATTTCTTAAAACCCCCGTTCATTACCCAGCCTGATTTATATTAGAGGTCGAAGTAGCTGTGAGAGGCTTCTATGATGATGTACAGTTTGCGTTTGTTGTTTTCTGCAGTTCCCAGAAGACATGTGTGTGTGTGTGTGTGTGTGTGTGTGTGTGTTCTTTAAAGAAAAAACAGCTTCTGCAGGAGATTTACTACAGCTTTTCTCTCAGAAACTAGCTGGAGACTTCTTTTCCTGGGGCTCTAAGGCGATCAAGCCCCAGAAGGCTAGTGTGTCAGGGTGAGCAGAGTGCTGACCTCCACGGGGGAGAGGTCAGCTCAGCACAGAAGACTCAAAAGGGAGGAAGAGAAAGCAACTCCGCAGCAGGGATTTGACTTGCTTAAGGGCAGAAGAGCTTCTCTAAAGGGGTCCCCAGTCTCCCACGCCCTTTTGCCTGCTCTTCTGTTCCTGCTCGGCACCATGCTCAGCACACTCACCACGCCACACAGACACAAGCACACACAGCCCACCCTCCTGCTAAATGGCTCACACCCTTTCTCCACCTGCCCCCAAGCAGTGTGCAGATTGGCAGTCCCTTCTCCAGAGGAGGCAGGTGATGGGTGGGCTGGAAATTTTGCTAGACCCAGTGACTCCGAAGACCTGTTGAGTTCCTCCTCCACATGCCTGTCTGGTGAGAACACAGAGCTTTCTCCCCCAAACCCTCTGTGGGTGCCTGGGAGGGCTCAGACCAGCTCATCCATTCTTGTCAGAGGAAGGCTGAGTTGGTAAATCAGACTTGGGCTGGGCGCTTGGTCCATATCCCAGAAGGAGGAGCCTGGAAAAAACCTCCAAGGACGCCAGAAGCTTGTGAAACAGCAGCATGGCTTTATTTGCATACTCCCCCTTAAAATGCTTCCCTGGTAAGCTATTCTGCTTGGTGGGAGATACCCAAGAAACACAGGGAAAAGCTTTCTCCAGTGGCTCGCCAATGAGAAGGGCTATGGTCATCAGAAGGGATCTCTGGGACCAAGGACTCTGTGCAAAGGAGTAGGGGGCTGAGGCGTGTATCTGCTGTTACGAATTCTGTTGTGAAGCTAAGAATCTCTAGTTGGAAAGGACTCAAAGCATGCTCCATCCATCTAGGGACTTTCCGCAACAAATCTGCATGCTTTCTCTTGAAGATGACATTTCTAATCAAATCCAATGTTCTCTCAAACCTCAGTTGTACATGAAGTGGACTCTTGT